TTTAGCAACATCTCCTGAGTACAGGGATACCACCCATGTACAGGTGTGTCAAGTTTTCTGGGGACTAAAAGACCTTATTTGAATGGTGTGCATTCCAGTTTTCCAACTTGGAATTTTCACAGCTGGTCATCATGCAACCGTGGCTCATTTGGGAAATTTTTGAAGCCAGACAATGTAATTTACCCCCCATCAAACCATATATCATGAGTACAGTGATACCACCTATGCATAGGTTTGTTGGGTTGAGGGGTGCAATGCCAAACCTCTGACATGTGTTTTTCAAATTTGACATATCTGCTTTCTTTTTGGGGGCCTTTTTAGATATCCCAATTTATTTTCTTGCCATGAGCGTGCATATATTTGAAAACTTGACAAAACACGGTATTGTATGTGGAGTGTTTTAATGCCGTTGATACAATCGTTTTAGTCAAAAAAAAAAAAAAAAATTGGGGAAAATGCGTGGTGGTAATTTTTCAATTTTAATTTCTACACCACATTTGTGTGTGATTTAGGGGTGCCTGTTATTGCAAGAAAACACTCCGGGTTGTATTCTACAAGGCCTCCTGAGTACAACCATGCCCCCCATAGTTTTTAAAGGATTTTGGGAAAGTGTGTGGTGTTAATTTATTTTTATACACACATTGCTTTTTGACTGTGAAAATTTAGGAGAGCCTGTTGTTGGTTATTGCAAGAAATCCCTCCGGGTTGTTTTCTGCAAGGCCCCCTGAGTACACCCATGCCCCCCCTATATAGGGTAAACGTATCTCCCCCCCCCCACCCCCAAAAAAAAACGAACGGCAAATGTAAAAAAAAAAAAAAATACAAAATGGAACAGTGTGTAGTATTGTTTGAAGCCGTCCCTAATGCAGCGTGCAGGGCAATCAGGACAGTAATATACGGTATCTTTTCTCTGCCCCCTCTTAAAACAGGCTCTGCATCTTTTTTGGGAGATTCTGCTTTGCCACAGTGTGTGTGTGTGGGGGAGAATTCTAAAAATAAAATGTGTAGCCCCAGCTCTGCTTTCTCCCATCACCACCCAAAAAAAATCAGTTTCATTCCGGGATTTGCTTTTTTGCACAACAACAACAAAAAAAAGCAACCCACCCATATGCCGGTTATAGACCTTGATGCACACTTGCTTCCTTGAACTCTCAGCTCTGCCAGCTCTGATCAGACAAATGGGGATCATAATCAAAATGTTATAGGGGCAAGCTCTGATTGGATGACCCTAGCCTGCCTCTATGATGATGCACTGCCTTTAGAAAGGCAGTGCCATCTTGGGAGCCACATGGCAAGGGGTGTTAATAGATTAATTTCATTTATTTAATTTTCTGTTAAATAAATTATGCTCGGCACAGGTCGCCTCATGGCTTCCGATGCTCTGTTTTCCTGCCGGGCGCTGTGTGGAGCAACCGTCACTCAGGTACCCTGCAGTAAGAAGAGGTATTGCACGATGCCAACATTAATGCATCACTGCAATACCATCAGAGCGGGTGGAAGGGATCATGACTGCTTCAAGCGCTCAAATTTGCCGCGGACGTACCTGATACATCCGTGGTCGGGAAGGGGTTAAAAGTCTTAAAATAAATACAAAAATAAAAAATACACAGGTTGTCTGAACAATTCCCACAAACATGCAGTTAGGCTGTACATAGGTGGGCCTAAACATTGCACACAAACAGGCAGTTGGGCTGTACATAGGGGGGCCTGAGCATTGCACACCAACAGGCAGTTAAGCAGTTGCACCAAAACAGAAGATAATTTGCATATGCATTTACTGGTAGAGGAGATGAATCACAACCTGTGTGTACATTCCTTTTCTGTTATTGGAGAAACAGAGCAACTTGTGTGTTCGACAATGAGGTTGGCTTTCATAGGCATTAAAAGCCCAGCCTTTCTGCAACACGCAGACCAGCATACTCAGGGTACAGCATTTTCCTTCGTACATAAGCCAACCTTGGAAATAGCCTTAAATTTTAGTACAAGCTTGCTGAAACAAACCATTATGTACTTACCTTAAATGTGCTTGTGCTTTCTAAATGGATAACGCGGTAATAAGGAATTGGTTGCCTAATTGCCTCTCTGTTTGTTGGACGAATTGACGGAACGCCCAGAAACTAAGGTGGATTGCACCTGGCAGACACATATCCAAATGAACTTATTTAAGAAAGAAAGACTATTAAGATTAAAGCTACTTGTCTCACCTTAATAAGCCTCTGGTGTGCTGGAGGGCTGGTGAGAGCATACTGGTAACTAATCTTAAACACACTCGGTGGCCAGATAGTTACTGCTAGGTTTAAATATCCTGCCATTAGACTCCAGATTCAAGAGATGTTGCCAGTTGCAGAGATCACTTTGTGCACGTGCATAGCACTCTGCGATCTGTAAGTGGAATGCAACACCCCAATGTGTTGTCCACATATGGAGCCTCCCAGCTGTGTGTACAGACGCACATTCGCCTCTTCCGTCACCCGGCACGGATTGGGCGGAATGATAAAGGAGTGAAACACAGGAGCCGGTCATGTATTTATATCCTATAATTGAAGGACAAGCAAACTTTCAAAAAGCAAGACAAAGCCCTCCAGGAGCCGCAACCCACTCTATCCAAAACACAAAAAAAGGTGAATAGTTTCACCAATTCTGCCAAGGAAAGGAAGAGCTCTGCTACCTGACCCCTCTCTCTCTCGGACAGGCAAATACTGGAGCTCAGGGTGTAGTTGCCCTTTTTAAGGCTAGGATGGGAGGAGACTGAGGGTGGGGAATGCATTTCGTGGTTTAAAACGTTTCAATGCTACCTGTCTTGTGAGAAATGGGTACATCCCACTTGTTATAACTGCCGCTTGAATGTTTGGAAAAAAATATTTTCACATATAAGGTACCTTCATGAGCTAAAGTGCTTTAGGTGTGTGGACTCTCTCTTTAAGGGTTGTTCTTTGCCTTGAAATTCAAGGAACTTTCATGGTGCAGCACACAGAACTTTAAATTATGCAGAAGTAATTAATTATTCTCACTTCTATTGCATTTAAAAGGCACAAATTTCAATAAGATGTTAGAAGACAAAAATACCCATAAAGAACTCCATTACAATTGTTTCATTTTTGGGCAGATCAGACTATATCGAGATAACAAACCTTACTTAACTGATTGAACAATGCTTAAAATGATGGTAGTTCTGAATTTCTACTAACCAAGGGAAAATCTGGAGCAATATCGATGCAAGAGTCTGAGGATATGTACCCAATTTTTTTTATTCTATATACGGATTAGAAATTAAAATGTCATAATTGTTTACCAAATCTGGTAAGTCCAAAAAATGTTTGACTTGTAAAAAAAAATAAAAAAAAAATAAAGATGAATTTGGTCAGTCTAGTTAGTCACATTGCCTTGCGGCTATGATAAAGCTTGTGTAGGATATGTTTCACGATTATTTTGTAAATAAAACTTACATAAAGCAGCAGTCAGGACACTTCTACTGAAAAAAGGCACAATTCTGATTAAAAACAATGTTTGAGAACAGAGATAAACATGCTTAAATTTTTTTTTTTTTTTTTTTTAAATCTAACCCACAGAATTTGCTACCCAGTTAGTGGTCCTTAAAGCGGAACTGTCATCCCTAACTTACCTTTCCCCAATCGATCCCTTTTCTTGTCCTCTATCAGGATCTGTTCTTCATTTCTTCCGGTCTGCTCTAGTTTTCTTTAAAACATAAGACAATTTAGGGACTACTTTGTCTTATGGAAGTGTTCTACGCTTGACCAGCGAAGGAGTAAAGTCTGCTTTGTTTCCGGTGATCAAAGCAATTTTCCCACAATTCTCACCCTTTGATCTGTGATGCTTCCTGTCATTTAGGTATAGCAGAATTTACTAATATGAAGTAATCTTTACATAGAATTAGTAAATTTGGCTTAAAGACCAATCTAGGTCTTTCAGCCTTTTGGTAGATAGCTCCCTAATACCGTGTGAATTAGGGAGCTATCTACTAAGCAGCTGCAAGGTGAAATTCCAATCCGAACAAAGTCCCAAACTGCATCCTAACATGAATGGAGAAACTGTTCTCATTCTGTTAGGACAAAATTAGGTAGTTTCGCCGGTTTTCTGTCTAAATGACAGGACGTTCGGGAATACGGACAGGAAGCATTGCGAGATCATGGATCAAAGGTGAGAATTTTAAAAGGTGGGGAAATTGCTTTGATCACACTTTGCTCCTCTGCTTGTCAATGCTGGTTAGGCGTAGGAAACCTCCATTAGACAAAGTAGTGCCTACTTTGTCTAATGTTTTAAAGAAAAACTAGAGCAGACAGGAAGAAATTAAGAAAAGATCCTGACAGAGGGAGAGAAGAGGAATCGATTGGGGAAAGGTAAGTTCGGCATGACAGTGCCGCTTTAAAATACCCGATAAACTGGGACACTTACAATCTTTTTACTTTAACCATACCCAGCCAACAAGCGTTGCTCTCCCCTCCCTTTCTATTTGTTTTTGAACCCTCTCTCCAGCTAGAGAAGCATTTGATTGGACCTCCTGAGGTTGGTTGGAGGAGTGGAAAGCAGCACCAGGTATTTTTCCCTTTCTTTGAAGGTTTTAAAAAGGAAGGGCCCTAGCAAGTAATGCCCAACAGGGCAGCCTAAATTAATGTAACATTTAAGTGTTTGAAAAATAAATAAAAATAATAATAGAGATTAGACCTTTAAAGGAGATATTTTCTTATATACAACTTTAATTATCATAAAACTATTTACCAGGGCAGTTTTTTTATTTTAAAAATACATTTTCCCAGTGTTACTTAATATCTTGAGTGGTAATAAGCCACTAGAATCTATACATCCAAGAAAGAAAATATTTTTAAGTTATAACAAAATAAAAACTCAAAGAATGTGTTGAAATCACATAGAACATCAGGAAAAAAAACAAACCTTTATTGAATATGGAAATAAATATAAAATGAATGTGTCCAAGATAACATTTTTAACCACAAAATATATATTTTTTTTTATTATTGTGACACGGGGCAACATTACTAGAGCAGCAAAGTAATACTGGAGAGTTCCTATAAAATTCTAAACTCCAGTATTTACGTGCTGCTAGAGCACTGCTACTACAAATGTTGGTGTAAATTACCATTTAATAAGCTTTTGAAAGTCAAGAGGAAGAGAAATTTGTTTACACAATCCTCCCACTATAGTCGCTTTTCTAATTTAAATCAGTATCTAGAACTAGACATCTTTCAGATTGTAAGCTTGCAGGATCAGGGCATCTGAAACCATTCTGAGCCTCTATTACATGTTACACAACATTTAATGTTGTGTACCCACTTGTCACGTCGTTTTATAGTAATCATCTGCAGAAAGAGATGCCTCTTAAGGATTGAATTTTTTTATTTTTTTTTTTAAATCTATGTTTGTGAAATAAAAAAAAAATAGATTTTAGAAATAAATGTGAGACACTGCAATACAAATCACAAAGAATATCAGGTAAGTTACAGCTGCTGATGCAGGTCCTTCTAGTCTGATCTCTGAGGTGAAGAGGCAGCTCAGAATGGTCTGTATCTCCTTGTTCCTACAAACCATGATGTGCTGCTACTTCACCTCTAAGCATCATACATGGCCAAGCCATCTGATATTCAGCAAACTTGAAAACTAGAAGAAAAAAAAAATGTCAGTGAACAAATATTCTACAAGTCAAATATATCCATGTTCTTAACTGAGAATTGTCTAGAACAGTGGTAGGAATCATTTGGAACTGCAAATGTTATGGACTACTTATCCTATAATGCTCTTACAGCTTTTAAACGACTAATACAGTTACTGAGCATTTAGGAACTCTCCCCCAAACACTTGGGAGCCAAACTAGATTAAAAACAGGAAGTTCATCTAAATAGCTCAATATACAATCTACTCGAAAATGATGAGTAGCAGCAGAAGCAACTCTTCAGTTTCACCTACATAGCCCAGTATTAAATTTAATTTCACCTTTACGTTCACATGACAAGTTATTCTTAAATCTAGTTTTTATCCTGTGCTTTGCTACGCCATGGTAAAATAGGTTGCCTATGCCTGCTCTAGTGTTTGTCACTCAGAAAGTCACTAGAGGAGCTACCGATGTCAGTGTAAAACTCTGCTGTTTTGACCAGTTTCAGCAAAACCATCTAATTGGAGTAGTGCTGCATTTTGCTGAGATCATCAAGCTTTTACATGTTTCTGGACTTATAATGAGCTCTCACAAGATCAGGTGACTGATGATTACTCTATTGCAGAGCCGTGCTCGTTTCGTTATAAACACAGCATGGCCTGACAAAAAAAAAAATCCCAAACAAACACACAAGTGCACAGCTCGGCCAGTGTATAGCTTCATTCAGGAATCAGAAAACCAATTCTAGGGGCATGTAGCTCAAACCTAGGATATATAGCACATATACAATCTTCATGAAATTAAAACAGAGCTCTGGGACCAGGAGGTGGTTTTTACATTAGAAGGTTGAGCATTTGGAGGTGAACCTCCCATACTCTAAACAAATTATGGAGATAGATATTTGTTCAGATATACACAGTGCCTCCAGTTCAATCTGTTAATTAAATGATGATGATGATCAGGAAAGATTGCATATGGAGGTGGTGTCATATACCTTTCAATGTGTTCTGCCCTCTTCAGGAAGTTATAGGAAAAAGCTCACTACTATTTATCCCTGCAAGAGAAAAGAACACAAAATGATAAATGAGTACAAAGTTGAAATTGTAAATGTGAATATATTTTTGGTTGAGTCTCTTCAATTATGAACCCATAAAAGATCTACTCTGATATAGAATATTTAGCATTGGCAGAGATCTATACAGAGGTGCTGATCAAAAGGCAGGAACTTTGTAACACCAGAACGTACTGGTGTTTAAAATCGATAAATTCGCATGGGTTGCCAAGTGTAGCACATTAGTATTTATATAACGCCATAATTGTCTACAGCACTTTATAATTATACAATTAAGGTAACACATAATGAACACAGAAGAGAATAAGGCTCTGCTCAACTAAGTTTATAATCTAGGATTAGAAGTGTATGTTTTGCTGTGCATGCTGTTGTGGTTATGGTTTCCCTTTAATATTAGTGCCCCCATGGCAAAACTAGTAAAGGTAGAGTATTAAACATACTACCGTACAGATTCAGTAGAAGATGGCTTGCTCCATGACAAATGAATATGGTGTGAAAACTCACATTAAAGTGGCTCTGTCATTTTGCAAAGACCCCAGATTAGGACTAGTTCGCTTCCAGTGCAAGGTAGTTTTAACTTACCTGAACATGTCCCTCGCGGCCAACGCCATTTTCTACTGCAAGGTCCTCTTCAGCTCCTGGCGCTTAGTCTGCAAGGAGCGGATGTCCATGGAGGATCCCTCAGCCATCACTAGTGACGGCTGATGGCTTGACTGCGGTAGCTCCGCCTTTGTCAAGCATAGGAAAAATACATAAGACTAAGTAGTCCAGCCCTGGTTTGTCTTATGAGATATTTTGACTGGGTTGGAATTTCAATCTTTATGCCCTTCTAGTCTGATCTCTGAGGTGAAGAGGCAGCTCAGAATGGTCTGTATCTCCTTGTTCCTACAAACCATGATGTGCTGCTACTTCACCTCTAAGCCTCACTCATGGCCAGGCCATCCGATATTCAGCAAACCTGAGAACTAGAAGAAAAGAATGTCAGTGAGCAAAAATATTGTATATTATAAAACACATGCAGGATCTAAAGTGAGAATTGTCTAGGACAGGGGTAGCATTCCAACTGTTGTGGACCACATCACCCATATTGCTCTTACAGCTATAATATTGGCAAAGCATCAGAGAAAATATAGTACATGATACCTGGATGGCCAATGGATGCCCACCCTGGTTAAGATAGTCCCCTGATTTGGTTTATACATTCTTAAGTTCATAATGAGAAGTATTTAAGGAAAAGATTTATAAATGTGAGCAGTTAAGTCTCCAATAACAGTGGTTCTTAACACAACCATATGTCTGCTTAAGTTAAATGAAAAGTCATGACAGCTGTTACCAAGTCCAGCATCACTCTATATCTATTAAGTGGGCAAATGATCTAAAATGATCCAGAGGAGGTTTTTAACTACGTGCCCTAAACAACGTGTTCATTAGATTGCTAGCACAATATATAGATAAAATCTTATGCTCAGTTTTGCTGGTAAGTTTATAGATTGGGAGAAAACCCTATTCAAAGAGTTTTTGTTTTTTTTCTCTCCCAGCCTTCACTCAATATCTCTGCCCTCCTCCCATAGCAACCACAGCACATGTGCTGTAGTTGCTATGGAAACCCCCTAGTTGGCACCCCCAGCGTGCTAACATCACTGACAAGATTTGCCCTGCTTGGGGATGTGTCCCAACCAGTGCAAATAAAAGAAGAACAGAAGCGGGTGTGTGTTACACAAAGTGTAACACCCACAAAGCATTGCTGGAAAGAAGGAAAAGTGAGTAAATCTTAATATTCTTCATTGAATACTTCATCTATCGTTATGACATATGGAGTATTCATTGTATATGGAAGCAATTTTAAGTCCGTCATCTTATCCATTGTCGGTTCACTTTAAACAACCAGAAAAGTGGTTTGCAACACAGTCATTAATGCACCTCAACAGTCCCGAATTCAGTTCCAAAGGGGATACTGACATAACCTGGACTGTTGGAGAGCATTGATGACTGTATAGGAAACGACAATCAAAAAGTGTCTCCTACATTGTAAGCTCACCTTCTGAAGATTTAATCTTTACTGTGTATGTCAATACTTATTTAAAATTTCCTCCGTATAATTGTAAAGTGCTGCAGTGGGTGTACACCTATTTTCTAGCCAACATTTAATACAATCCCATTCCTACCAATCAGACTTGGACAAGTAAAAAAGAAAAATAAGATTTTACACTTCTTACAAGTTAAGAGCACTCTGCAGAATCAGTGTATAAATTGCTTTACAGATAGGCTAGTTTAATGAGAGTATCCTCGTTATCGTTAACTACTTTAACAAATCACTGATCCGGTTCTTCTAGTGTTCCGCTGGCTTTCCCCCCCCTTCTTTTTACATGCGCATGTCGACCTGGCGAATGGTCACCATGGTGTCCTTGAACTCTGCTTTGCATATGGTTACTAGACTTTTATGGCAACAATTATTAGCACCTGCAACTACATTTGAGCGGGACTACTGCCTCCCTACACTTGTACACTCCTCAAACATCATTTCTGTGAAGGCTGAAATGTTGGGTGTTTTTGTATCCTGGCTGCAGTCCGACATCACTATTGCTTGAGGTAAACTACTGATACATATTATTTACCTGAGATTTTCATTTGTAAGTTTTAACATTTGTTTTCCCCTGCCAGTTATCTGTGTGTATACCTACATTATATTTGTTTCCACTGGATGAGAGTATCAGCGGACTGCTTTCAGATTCTCACAGCTATCCATTGCTGGTATGAATTGAAATACTGACAGAAGTGTGTAACCCTTGCTTTAGCCATAGCTCCAGTGGAGGCCAGGCAGTGTCGTCGCTAGGGGGGGGCCAGAGGGGGCCATGGCAGCCCCCCCGCTACATCATGCTGTGCCCCCCCCCCTCCCCACCAAATGCAGGAAACTTGCTGGCCAGGTGCTTAAATTCTATTCCCTCTGACTGTAACAGTCTGTTACAGCCTGAGGGAGGGAATGCAGGATGGAGGAGCTGGAGCGCTGGTTGCTGTCTGCGGAGAGATGCAAGGGCCAAAGGGAGCACTGACAGGCTTCCCGGCACAAGCCCCGCCTCCCGCACATAAGCCCCAGACCTTGCTGCTGTTGGAAAGGCCCAGCAACAGCCTCCAGTGACAGGTAGGCTTGACATATTGTGTATCTGTGTGGACTCGGCAGTCTGTGTGTGGGTATGAACTGCTGAGTCAATAAACAAACACACACATAATACCCACAGATTCCAGGAACTAGAGGAATCAGAGGCAGTGGAGTGGTGACTGAAGTCTCAATCTGAGACATTTAACATGTTTAATTGGTGGCATGAAAAAGGGCTAATGGAATATGTGCATATGTTTTCCTTTTGCTCCCATTTCTCTCTTTAATTCCATTCTGTAAATTATCCTTTAATATCTTTCATTTCCTATTCTAAATTTTTTTAAACTATATTCACTCCCCAATATAATTATTTTAGTGAACTAATGTTATATGGTATAGACACAACTCTGACTGAAGCACATCTACACAAGGCCTTTTTTTTTTTTTTTTTTTTAATATTTGTACAGACAGTGTCAGCACCGATACCCAATTCATCTAAAAGTGATAAAAATGTACCTGCCTGATATAGATGATGTGCTGTGAATGTGTCTATCGCATACCATGGATACATGGTACTGTTGGTGGGAACTTGGCGTTATAAAGGTCTATTCAATAAAGAGAGAATTGTGATGGGAATTTCCAACATTAGGTTGAAATAGTGCAGCTGAATGGGAGAACGTTTCTAACTCTGCTACTTCGGCCTTAAATTTAAAAATTACCATCTCAATTCCCTGAAAATCTCTCTTTATTCTGTAGACTAATCTGTACTGTGATAAGTAGGCGGAGATTAATTATGTAGGTTGGACATAGTGGGCAGAGTTTTGCGGCAGTGGGTGTGGTAAACTTTCAAGGTAGTAATTGATAGCTGTGCTGCAAAATGTCCTTGGAAATTTTTTTTTTTAAATGTTGGCAACTATGGCACTGTATTAAGGGAAATGTGTATGCTTTTTTAATAATTCCAGGTGGAAAATAATGAATCCTCCACCAGGGATTATTTAAAAAAAAAAAACCAAAAAAAAAAAAACATTGTGTCAGGGGCGGGGCTTAACATACAGCAAGGGCAGGGTCAAATGTGCCCCCCCTACTTTTGTCCCTGGCCCACCATGTACCAAAAAAAAAAATTAATCCTAGAGATGCCACTGGTTCTGGGTAACAAAGTAGAGGTTTTTTTAAAGTGTCTATAACATCTCTCCTGTAAGGAATATAGTAGCTAAAAAAAAAAAAAGGAATAAAAACTACAGTTTAAAGTAGAATTAACAGACACCTATGGAATTTTAATGGAAATTAGACTTTTTTTTTGCCAAAAAGATAATACATACATATGTGTGTCCAGAAAGTGCAATGATGTTCCAACTGCAAATGTCTAAGCATGCTCAGTGAGTGCAGCATCCTTGGTGAATTTGCAAACAAAATGTACATATTATAAGAACATGGATAATGCAAAACACAAACAATTGTAAACAAATGTATATAGCAATTGGGCAAAAAGATCAAATTAGAGAACAGGTCCACATTAATGCTTTCTGAGTTTATGTATATATTTGCTTTTAATTTTGGTAACACAATGCCACAGCATCCTATGATCTTCAGACAAGTCACCATGTGACATATGCATTTCAAACACAGCCAACATAGCAATTTGCTGACAGTGGAGATGTCTTTAACAGAGCTGAGTGTTTGTTAAAGACATGAGGAAAGAGTAAAATGAGGAAAAGCTCATATTTGCAGCTGGTGGCTATGTATTTTTGCAATAGTCCAACAAAACTAAACCGTGGCATATATTCTGCCAGAGAGAAATACGGATGCACAAAATATTCTACATGATACATAGAACAGCTTCAAACTGGGTTTTTTTGCCTTCTTTTGTATCAACAGCAAAAACCAAATGTGAGGAAGGCTGAACTTGATGGACGTAAGTCTCTTTTCAGCTACGTAACTATGTAACATAATTCAATTACCATTGTTGCATAGGTGAAACTCTGCCCAGTGATTTTCAGAGGAGCACACTGACATTTGTATGTATATGCCATAAGAGCATGCCTTCAATACTGATCTGCACAGTAGTAAACACACACATGCATGCTAGGAATGCCTATGTTCAGAGCAACACTAAAGTTTTATGGTCTGACAGTGCACATAAAAAAAAAAAAAAAAAGTGAAAAGTCCTCTTTTAGTTTGCTATTGCATGGTGCCAGAATTAAAAGGACACTATAGCCACCAGAACAACTACAGCTTAATGTAATTGCTCTAGCGAGTATAGTCAGTGCCTGCAGGCCTTTTGCTGTAAAGATTGCCTTTTCAGGGAAAAGGCAGTGTTTACATTGCTTCCTAGACACACTTCTGATGTCAGCCAAGCAGAGGCAGCACCAGCAGACTACAATAAAGGTAAGATGTTGCTATATTTAGGGAGGCAAGGGTGAAAAAGGGGTTAGTGTTTTTTTTTTAACACTGTAGGGTCAAGAATACGTTTGTGTTTCTGACCCTATAGTGTTCCTTTACAGAAGTGATAGTGCCACTTTAACCTGCAGTTACATAGTATTGCCTGCTTTAGTAAAAGGGTGAAGACTGTCACATTGTTACTACTTAGAACTTAGGTTGCAGGAACAAATAATAGGTGGTTGAAGCGCCTTTTAAACTGGAATCAAACCTGTAAGTTGCATTCTAGATGAAACAGTCTTTGTTGACAAGTGGTATACATGAATCAGACTACTTTTAAAAACCCATATGACACGGATATCAGCACCAACTTACTGAATAACTGGGAACATCTTGAAACAACTTTTCCTCGATACAGGGCCTGCAACAACATGCATAATGCAAATGTTAATTTTATTATCATCATCATTACTGGCATTTATAAAGCGCCAACAAATTCTGCAGCGCTGTACAATTGGGAAAAAGACAAACACAATAAGAACAGACCGATACAACAGGTAGAGGGCCCTTCCCGTGAGCTAATATGTTGTGAACTGGACACAGTTCCTTCTGTCTTAATGTGAAATATCTGAAATGCGGCTGAATTATATTATCTAAATTTAAAAAATAAATCTAAAAGTAAACCTGTTATGTAAAAAAACAACTTATCTGAAATCACTCCCATATACACTGAATACACCATATATTATTACAACCACCTCTGTGCTGTCCTTGACTCCTCCTGAAGAGGTCTTTGATTTGCCCTGCTTGGGATCCCAAAGCAGAGCAATCCTCATCAGTGACGTTGACATCGCTGCCAGCATAAGCATGGAGTGACGTCACTACAGTCCATTCCTATACTCACTAGCAAGAACTAAAAGCGCTGGTTAGAGAGTCCCCATAGCGCATGCACTGTGGTTGCTTTTGGAAAAGAGCAGAGGGACCTCCATCAGGAGACCGTTTCTGCTCTCCCTGGTCAGTCAATGCCTTGGGAGAAAACCCTATTTTTAAATAGGTTTTTCTCCTAATCCACACATTTGCAAGAAAAACTGCAAGCACAATGTATAGATAAGATCTTATGTGCAATCCGATGAGTATACGTTGTTTGGAGCATGACAGATGCCTTTTAAGTCAGATGTGTTACTTAGTTTTAGATTACTGCCCTATTAAACCATCTGTAACTCAGATCCAGGACAGAATGTCCACCGATCTAATGCAGATTTTTTTCCTTCACGCGACTGTCACATACAGGTATCTTTGAATATTTTCAAAGAGCCACAGAGGTAACATACCCAATAAGCATGAAGCTGAGGGGAGTTATACTAACCTGAAGCTCTGACTCGCAGGAACCTTCAGCAACCTGAAAAATCACATCATTGTTGTAATCTCATTCAATCGCACGCAAAAGTACATCAAAAGGAGTCTATGGAAGATCCCACAAGAACACCCCAGATCAACTAATGGAATACACAAGGTGGTGCAGGAGCCAGATTTCCACAGCTGTTGCTAAAGATGGTTTGGGATTTGCCAAAACCTGAGAGGAAGCTCTGCCTTTTATTAATCTCAATTTAACCCGTAAGGCAAAGTAGCCTCTACTTTGCCATATCTTTTGATTGTGTTGAAATCTCAATGAAATTCCAGCACAGTAAATATGTATTCCATGAAAATTATATCTTAATGAAACTCAATTTTACTGTTGCTTTAATTTTAAACTCTTTGGATTACAACTTTGCTACACAATTTATATCCTTTTCAAATTAATATTACTGGCAGTGCTTTTATTGAAGATGTAAGTTAATATTCTTTGCAATAGGGTTTCCAGTCTCAGACACACCAAGTGAAAGAATATATATATACACATACATACATACATATACATACATATATATATATATATATATATATATATATATATATATATACATACATACATACATACACACACACACACACACACACACCAAAAGTTATACATTGTCCTTTTACTATTTTTGAATCTCTTTAAAAAAAAAATCTGATATACAGACATACAAATACCACAAAAAGGAAAATATATCAGAAAGAAGTAGTGGAATTTATCTGACAGTAAAAGAGGAGTCCAAGATTACACTTTTGGTAACAACAAATTAACTTTTTTAATTCTACACTAAAATTCCTTTACAAAATACTATACTTACATTTTGCTTTGTAAGGATCTACAGTGGTAATTAAATTAGGCTATTGGTCACAGGCAAGTACCAAATGTTTTCAAGTAGTAGCCATTTCAGGATTACAAATTAAAACCAGTGTAACAAAGCAATATTTTTGACACTGTAAATGACACAATGAATTTGTTACCCATTTAGTCATACTGCCTAGCATTTTTAGATTGCATTTTCTTTAAAGGGTCCTGTATCAGTATGACACTTCGAATACATATAAAGATCACAATGGTAACTTATTAACCGTTTCTGTACCATGATGTCACGTCAAATTAGAGTTCACAAAAATCTAGTTTTTAACGGTCTCTTTATTTTGGTAAATTAAACATTATAAACAAATATATGAGTAAGCACTTTATCATTTTGGATAGACATATTTCAGCAATTAAAAAGTGTAGAAATGATTATGAGTAGACTGCATTGACCTTACAATACACACATAAAAACCTGCATATTAAATCAACATTAAAATTACATATACCTTAAAATCGTATATTTGTGTAATTTAATTTAAAAACATTTTTTTTGCAACGGATAACTATTTAGGTTCTGTAGCGTAAAATAAGAGTAGAAATATCCACCCTGTTGTGTAAGGTTAGTATATAACTAAAGGACGCATCTATATAGTATGTATTGAATACTAGTGAACACAAAGCAAATATTCTACATAATTTAGCAATGAGAGAGAAAAGTGCAAATGCTCAACTTCCATACAAAAAGGGTTAAATAGCTTTAGATTTAAAAACCAAGCAGCAAATTATCTGCTTTAGTCAGTAATTTAGTTCTATTATATAGCTACAAACACACAGACCCTAAACATTCAAAGCAGCATAATTTGATAAATGTACCAAATTCATTAACCCTTTAACATGTCAGCTTTGCAACTTCAACAACGTATTTGTCAAAACCTGGCCTTATAGGAGTAGTACAAGGCACTTAAACTGTATATAACATTTTATAACTGCCAGCAATTTACATTTTGTTCACACTTTAAAGATACTAGACTAAACAGCTTGTAGGGTTCTAAAGAGAAAAAAAGTTAGGTAAGAAAACTATTCACTTTCCACGTGATCTGTAACAGAAGGTTTCAGGATGCATAATCTGTATTCTGTAGAAATTCTTACGAACAAGAAAGGCAGTTCCCCACGAATGAAGCAAGACTTTTTTTTATATTTTCTACATACATCTATAAAATGAATAAGTACCGGTACTTGTTAAATTTACATAGATAACTGTGCCTTTTGCACTGAGCTCAGTTACAACTAAATATCCTATTACATTACTGAGGTCAGTAAGGCCTGCAACACATTGCAGTCCAAAAAAAGCCACTAAATAATCTCACAGCATCTGTGGTTACATGTAAGCATAATTTGTTTTGTCTTAGTAGTGTAAAAAGGCCTTGTTTTACCATCAGTACACAAAGTGAATCCCCATGTGTCAGTCATGTAATATAGTAACATGTATCTGGGGGGAGGGGGGGGAGAGAAGTAACCAAATAGGGACTTGCTAAATGTCAAAATGGAAAACACTTTAATTGTTAAATTATATTGTGATTACAATTCTGCAATAATTTTTCATAAACCACTACATTACAAAAGGTAGACTAAAAATTCAGTGACGTTCACTACAGTAAACAAATATGAGAAAATAACAGGATTTGAAATAGAAAAAAAAGTAAAGATTTTTTTCCACCCATTACTGAAACACTTTTCTTGAACATACAATTCAAAATGTATACTAGTACATTCATAAAATATATTCATACATTCAGAACATTAACAAATATAATTATCCTTGAACAGCAATTTCACACAAATACGTATTGTGAACAGATAAGAGGTTACATTTAAAACCACTGACAGTTCTTTTAAAATACTCCCTTTGTTATATTTAACAGTGTATTTTTTTTTTAAAATAGTTATGAGACTAAACCAGTTAAACTACTATACTAACTTTTTATACTCCCTAAATCACATACGAACAAATCACTTTTTTACTTTGTTTTCATACTGCAAGACACTTTCTGTAAAGTCATATCTGAACATATATTTTGTTGAAGCAGCAACCATCCATTATCTGGAGGGCATAAAATTGTAAACAGATTCGTACCTATGTGATTGCCTAATTACAGCATCACTGTATGGCCTTAAAACAAAACAAAAATTACCTACAACCCCTTTGTTTGACCAGCCATTGCAGACAGCGCCCACAAAATACTCCTAATAGTCCCCCTCTAAAACAAACAGACCCTTGCCCTCCCACTCCAGATCACCCTGCAGGACACCTCTAACAATAAACAGAACCCCTCCCCATATTAATCTCACAAACACCCCTCCCCCTCTGTCCCAAACAGTCCTTTCTTCTTGCCCCATCCAATATACTTCCAAACTACAAAATAGAGGCTAGTTTGCGCATATATATATATATATATATATATTCTACAATTTATTGTTGTGTGCCACATATATCCTAAGGCAAACCTTGGGAAATGTCTGTCATACATATTATACACATATACCTTATCTCACTGAGATTTTATAAGGCAGGAAGAAATAAAAATCACTAGAGACATCAATATTATAGAGCAAGTTTTATTTCCCCTTTTTCACTAGTTTGTTCTGACGGATTAGTTGACAGAAGCTAGTAAGCCAGACTTAGTCCTATTAAATATGCAATAATCATATCCACACACTGCTACATGTAAAATGGAGAGACATGAGAGATCTTAACATCACTAATTTTAAAATTCAATCCTAATGATTAGGATTTGCCTCCTGGCCTGAAGAAAAAAAAAAACAAACACCAAAAAAAAAAAAAAACCTCTGGAGAGTTGCTCTTTTATTATGCATAGTTAGTCCAATAAATAAGGTTATTGCTGCACTCTCCAATGCTCTTCGTTTGTAATAACACTATTTCAGATACCTCAACAACCACATTACATGGAAATAAAGTACCTTCATCGATCACTAGCCAGTGTAGTTATCTAAGGACTAAGCTGGCCAGTATTATCAAGGGCTAAACTGGCCAGTATTATCAAGGGCTAAACTGGCCAGTATTATCAAGGGCTAAACTGGCCAGTATTATCAAGGGCTAAACTGGCCAGTATTATCAAGGGCTAAACTGGCCAGTATTATCAAGGGCTAAACTGGCCAGTATTATCAAGGGCTAAACTGGCCAGTATTATCAAGGGCTAAACTGGCCAGTGTTATCAAGGGCTAAACTGGCCAGTGTTATCAAGGGCTAAACTGGCCAGTATTATCAAGGGCTAAACTGGCCAGTGTTATCAAGGGCTAAACTGGCCAGTGTTATCAGGGACTAAATTGGCCAGTGTTATCAGGGACTAAATTGGCCAGTGTTATCAGGGACTAAATTGGCCAGTTTTATCAGGGACTAAATTGGCCAGTGTTATCAAGGACTAAATTGGCCAGTGTTATCAAGGACTAAATTGGCCAGTGTTATCAAGGACTAAATTGGCCAGTGTTATCAAGGACTAAATTGGCCAGTGTTATCAGGGACTAAATTGGCCAGTGTTATCAAGGACTAAACTGGCCAGTGTTATCAAGGACTAAACTGGCCAGTATTATCAAGGACTAAACTGGCCAGTATTATCAAGGACTAAACTGGCCAGTATTATCAAGGACTAAACTGGCCAGTATTATCAAGGACTAAACTGGCCAGTATTATCAAGGACTAAACTGGCCAGTATTATCAAGGACTAAACTGGCCAGTATTATCAAGGACTAAACTAGTGTTATTATTGACAAGGACTAAACTAGTGTTATTATTGACAAGGACTAAACTAGTGTTATTATTGACAAGGACTAAACTAGTGTTATTGACAAGGACTAAACTAGTGTTATTGACAAGGACTAAACTAGTGTTATTATTGACAAGGACTAAACTAGTGTTATTATTGACAAGGACTAAAGTAATTAAAATTATTGATAAGGATTACAATAATATTTATTATTGAAAAAGGACTAAACTAGCCAGTGTAACTATTTAAGGACTAAACTAACCATGAATACTGACAAAGAATAACTATTTATAAAGACTGACCTATTATAACTCCAGATGAAGACTAGTCAGTGTATTTATTTATAAGGATTATGATAAAGCTTATTTTGTCATTAGCCACCATTAACACTCGTTTTATTTAGTGACATTTAAAAAAAATCAATAATAATAATAATAATCCATAACCGAATAACAGTGCACACAGCATTAAAGCAGAGTGTGTGTGAGGGATAGTAATATAATAATAATAATAATAATAATAATATATTAAAGTCCCACCCCCTGTCTCCCTGTCTCTCTCTCTCCCGGGGTTCGAACCCGCGGCTGGCCGGTCCCCGTGTCTGGGGGGGCTCGGGGTGGGGTGCTGGCCCGCGGGGCGAGCTGTGGACACCCTGCCCGGGGTGTGTGTCGGAGCTCCGGCCTCCCTCCCTCCCTCCCAGGGCTCCGGGTAACGGCGGGTAACGGCGGCTCAGTGTCCGGGCGGAGCCGGGAGGGGGGCGGGGGAGGCGGCCGACACACACCGGACACCGCCGGGGATTTTTCAGATTTTTTTCCCGATTTTTCCCGCCGCTCAGGAGCCACTTCCAGAGGAAGAAAGAACTAAATGGGGGAGAGAGACACACCGCTCCGGCGAGTTATTCCCTGGGAAGGGAAAAAAAATAAAAAAATAAAAAAAAATTCCCTCCTTACCTCAGTCCAATCGAAAATGGCGCCGAAACCTAAGAAACTTCTTAAATTTCATTGTAGGGATTTCGCGGGGGATTGTGGGTAAGGGAGCGCTGAGGAGGAAAAAAAAAAAAAAAAAACATACAGAGAAAGAAAGAGGAGAGGGAAACAGGGAGGGCGGGGCCGGAGGGCGGGGCTAAGAGGCTTTCAGGGTGTGGCTTGCAGGGATGTTTGTGGTAATAGGGGTTCTGAGGTGGGCGGAGCACACGCTTGACAAACAAGGGGCGGGGTACGTGGTTCTGAATAGAGATGGGGTGTGTGGGCGGGCTGAAAAGGCGGGGAGTGGGCGTGGCCTGAGAGGTGGTTTCCTGACAGGCCTTCTGCACGTTAACAGTTGTAACACAAAGTAGAGGAGACAGTTTGCTAGGAGGGGTGTGTTTGGCTTTTTTGAAACTTAGAGAAAAAAAACCATCATTATTTCTTTTTTTTTTTTTTACTTTTTTTTTTTTTTAATGACAGTACAGGGTTATAGAGTATGATTTCAAATGGTTTCCTATCCAGCTATAGGGAAATAAGTATAAAAAAAATAAAAATAATAATAAATATGGAGTTACATTCTGAGCTCAGAGTTTTTTAAAATTATTATTATTTATAAAGCACCAACAAATTCCGTAGCGCTGTACAATAGGATTTTATATGACGAAAATGTATGCCAGTTAATTTAAGAACTCGTTTAGAAATGCCTTTAGTCCCTTAATGTAGTCCCTTATTCAATATATAACACTGCTAAATAGTAATATTATAACAGCTGTTAACCATATTTAATGTATTATGCTTTATAATGTGCCAGCAAATTCCGTAGCGCTGTACAATAGGTAGAAAGACATGTATTTGCAACAAAATGAGCTGGACACAGCAACAGAGGGTGTTGAGGGCCCTGCTTAAACAAGCTTACATATATAGCTAGATGTTAACAACATATGCAACAGTTTTAAAAATAGATATATACATAAAAATATATATATAACAGGGTGCATTGTAATTGTAAGAAACAAACAATAGGTAGCAAAACGCTACATCTGTTGCTTAATAGGGTTGACTCTCTAAATACTGAAATACAAATTGCAGATTTTAGATTAAAATAGCCTACTGCTGACTGAAAAAGTTGGACATTTTTACAAATCAACAGTTTATGAAAATTCAGATTTTTGGTGCTATTTTTAGTTTAGTAAATAACCTTGAACGAGATTAGAGAAAAACTAGCATATCCTTGCTTATCCTAGCAAGTAACCAGTCCAGCCTTACTTGTGCTAGCAAGCATGCAGCCAGGCCAGGAAATAGCGTATACCTACAAATGAGAATTTAAGGCAAAGTGCTTTATTTCAAAATACTGGGAGCCTTTTATTTG